CGGGCCCGCGTGGGGTGTCCCCGGGGCAGGTGGAGTGCCCCAGCCACATCTGGTGAAGGAACCTAGAGCTGCTGTTTTCTAGCTTTGCCCACGTGGCATTTTGGCTACAAACAGCCCGGCCCGGCGTGGCAGGGCAGCCCCAACCAGCCTGCCGCTGAGCCCTGCACCTGGGCACTCTGGGAACTCATTGCTAACACCTCTGGCTTCCTGCTAGCCAGGCCCGGGCACTGTGTGGGCATGCCTGAGACTACTGCCCTCTGCTGGCTGGAATTAGACGTGCTGTACTTTGTGTCATTGCCCCTACACTGCTATCAGCTAACGGGGATTCCCTTTGGCTCAAGGGGTAGGTTGCCGCTGAGCCCTGCACCTGGGCACTCTGGGAACTCATTGCTAACACCTCTGGCTTCCTGCTAGCCAGGCCCGGGCACTGTGTGGGCATGCCTGAGACTACTGCCCTCTGCTGGCTGGAATTAGACGTGCTGTACTTTGTGTCATTGCCCCTACACTGCTATCAGCTAACGGGGATTCCCTTTGGCTCAAGGGGTAGGTGAACCACGCTAGGCCCCAGGTGCTGCAGGCTCCCCACAGGGTCTGCCCCTTTTATAACCAGACTCCGCCGGCTGGAGCACCCGGGAAAGAGGCAGCAGCTGGGCTGAGGGCAGCAGGGATGCTGGCACCTGGAGCAGCTCTGGAGCCAGGCTCTGGGATGGGAGAGGAGCTGCTGACCGGGGCTGGGGGATGCCCCTGGGGGCAGGTTACCAGGCACTTTCCACTCTGCCACTGGCAGAGACTGGCTCGGGGCTAGGCTGACTCTGGGGCAGGGCAGGGCAGCAGGCTGAGCCGGCAGTGGGACCCAGGTATCCTGGCACCTGGCCTGTTCCCTGGGCGCTGGGGTTAGTGCTGAGCCGGGTCTCCCCAGCCCTGGGGCCGTGACACCGGCCGGTCCCGGGCCTCATCCGGCTCCAGGGTATCCAGCCTAGGGACCTGCAGCCCAGCCCCAGGCTGCCCCTCGGACCTCGGCCAGGCCGCACCTGCTCCATGAAGACCAGCAGGGACTCCTTGTTGTTCTCCCACTCCCGGGGCAGCTCGGACTCGTGCGGGAACTTGTCGCAGGACAGCTCCACCGTCACCTCGAAGCAGTTGGTGTGCAGGTAGCTGAAGTCGTTCAGGCCTGGCCGGCAGAGGGGAGGGGGAGCCGGCAGGGGGAGCTGGGGCCGGACACAGCCCTGTGCCACCTGCAGGGGGGAGCGGTCCCTTCTCGTGCGGGGCCGGCTGGGTCCCTGGGGCAGGTAGCGTGGCCTGGGGTGAGCTCTGCAGTGATGCCACCTTCCCTGCCGGGGGCACCACCCTCTGGGCACACGCAGCCCTAGGCTGAGCATCGGGCCGGGCAGCGAGAAGGGGGGGCTGGGAAAGGCCAGGTCAGCGAGCCCTGCCAGCTGGGCCAGGCTCCCTTGCTTTCCCACCCCTGCACAGGGTGAACCGTCCGTGCCCCAGGATGCAGCGGGCAGGCGGCACCTAAGAACAGCCGTGTGGCGGGGGCGGGCCGAGGGGCTG